TGAAGCTGAAAGCGGCACACCTCCTCTGGCCTTTCACTCCTCTGGTTTGAGGTAGGCACAGTTGCCCAACTGTGTGGAATGGGGAGTCTAACAGCTTCTTAAACAGGCCTCTGCTCCAGGTTTCACCTTATCTCACAACTACTTCCAGAAGAACCTAGAACTGGCAATTCCAGAGCCTCTGGGAGCTCTGCAGTACAACGCAGATGCTCAGATGTTCCCATTTCTTTCTTACAATGTAGATTTCTCAGGTGTTTCTAAGTCAGCTACCATTTACCTAATTTCTGGAGAGCTTTCCAATTTTGTTGTGATTTTTAATCATCTTGGCGGATTTATGCTTTTTTAAAAAAAATTCCCTGTCATTTCCATGGGATTTCAATGGTAAACAGCCACACCTAGCTGCATAGGAGGCTGAGGAATGAAGCCTTTATCCTGGGAATCCAAGTACTGAGTCGTGTCACCACAGATGGAAACAGTGGATGGTGATGGAAATTAGCAATCTCTGCCACATCAATCCAGCTAGCTTTGAGGCAGAGACTGAGGCTGCTCGGGATAAAAGCCTTCTTTGCAGGAGGGCAAGAGAGGTGGCAGAGGTTCTGGGACAAGCAATGAAGAGACAGAACACGCTAGGAGTCGCTGACAGATGAATGCATGTCTTTATTTAGTTCAGTCACTCCAGGTTCATCCCGAATTTTCACATCTCACCCTCCCACTGTCAAAACAGGTCCCATGGAGCAGGGGGCCAAAAACAACAGGCTGCCCACAGTCTCCATCACTTCCCACCCCACAGAACACTGGGGGGACAATGGCACCTTGCTTGAAATCCACAGGTCTCAAACACTTTTAGGGGCACAACTGTCTTGAAACTGGAAACCACAAGCCACTAAGTAAAACAGACAGGGAGCTTCAACCTGGGCAGCATTTGGGGTACGTCCCTGGAGCCCCAAGTTCCCTTACAGTGGTTAAAAACTCCTGCTTCAGAGTCCTTCTTTCTACCTAATCACTTGAAACTTTCCATAGAAAGAAAAAACAAGAAAGAACTCCCTTCTTGAAATGTGCACACCGATTTCATATGACCAACACTTCTACCTGTTCAAATAAATAGTCCACAAAATTAAGGCATTTTAGGGAGATTAGAGGGAAATAAAGCATTTATTAAAATTACAACAGCATATCAAAAATGTCCATTATGCTTTTGAAAGCTCTTAACTAGGCACAAGGGCAGAAACAGTCATGGTCCCAGCCACTGCAGGCAAACACATATCCATCACCAAGGCAGAAAAGGAGACAGAGGGCCGGTGGCGAGCATTCTCTTCAGCAGGTCCCCAGGCACCAGGCCCCCCCTGCAAGTCATGCCTCACATGCCCAACAGCAAAGAGAAGCAGTTGGAGCTGTGCAGACACCACAGGGCAGGGCACTGCCAGCTCAATTACAGCAGCAACTGCACACAGGAGACAGCTTAATAAATGCCATTCTCAAACTGGTTTTATGGACATTCATATGCCACCAAGTATATCTAAGAGATCTTGAAATCAAAGCAACATAAAAAAGAGAGACTCGCCTGCATTCCAGGCACTGAGCAATCACATGTCAGGGCAACAGAAGTCCCCCTTCTGCCCCACTCACTTCTCCATCCCACTGTCTGCTGAGAATTTATAGTATTTATTCCACACGTCACCGTGCACTTCAAAATTTAAACATTCCTCTCTGTGGAATTTCTCCTAGGACGTGAATCCCACCAACTTGCATCATGGAACCATCTAAACTATTTCATTCCACACTGAGAGATTCGGGTTTGGAGGGGAGAGAGGGAAGTGAGGCGTAAGCGAGAAAGGAGGCCATGTGGCCCAAATGGGTATGTCCAGGACAGCGATCCGAGCTGGTGGAGATCCAGGTCCCAGAGGCCAGGCCTGCCTGCTGACTGCAGACGGCCAGGTGAGGAGGCAGAGGCTGCAGCCCCGGAGCCAGAAGACCCACACTAGTGTCATCACCAACATACAGGGGGCCACAGGCTCCCAGGGCCCAGGTTAAGGGGGGCACCCCTCACCAGAGGCCACACCAACTTCCTGTGAGTATGTCTCACGGATCCAGGGGTAGCCAGAGGCCCATCCCCACAGGTGTTTGCACTTCCTAAAACTGCACGCAGCGATCTCCCAACTTGTTCTTGGACCGTGAGGCAGTGGAAATGCTGCAGTGCTCTTTGCCAGTGTACAGGCTGTTTTAAGAACCCAAGAGGAATTTCTCACCAATACGTAAATATACACCACAGCTAGACTTTGGTTCCCTGACTTTGGGGGTTTCAGAGACAGGCGAACTGAAGAAGAAATTCTGGGGCTGACAAACAGCAGCCAACATTCTGTTTTGCAACCAAGAGCATTTCAAAAGCAAAAATATTGCCCTCCACTTTCACCTTCATTACATAAAAGGACATTTTATCATCCAAATCAGGACAAAAATAACCTCAGAATAAAAGACAATCCTTCAAGTTGAATAAACGTGACTTCATCAATTATTTACCATGCTGTTTTCATATGCCTCACCTGCATAGAGAGCTCTGTCCCCATGCTACACTGTGGGCCACAAGGACTCTGGTCCATCAGGGCCCACGGTCCAGCTGAGATCTCCCGGGTCACAGGCTCCTCCAGCCATCACCTCAAATGTGTTTGCACTGAGAACAGGGACAAGTCACCACAACAGCAGTTTCCACGCACAAGGGGACTGTGTGTGTAACATAGTTGCTTTCCCAAGTGACCCCACAAAACCCCGCCGGGAAGGCACAACAGGAAGCCCTGTCCCTGTCTAAAGTAGAGCCACCACTGTGAACCGGGACTTGGCCAAGGCCACATGGATGACAGCAAAGCACAGGCCAAGCAACTCCCACAGGCTGACTCTCCCCTGCCTCGGCCCTATGTCTGACCTATCTTCCTCTCTTTCTCTTTCTCTCAAGAACGTTTAATTTGAAGAATAAATTCATAGAAAAAGAAAAAAGAAAACTTACTTAAAACAATTGTCCTTTCTCTTTAAAATTACCTATTTAACAAGCAAATTTTAACTAAACTTTCAAATGTCAAAAGAAAACAAAGAACAAGCATTGTTGCCTTAAACACTTTTCTGGAACAAGGCAGAATATAAATAAATAAATAAATAAATAACATGAGTGATACAAAGAGTCACAGAATGTGGGTAATATCGATGGGTTTATCTAAAACCCCTCATCCAGGACTCCAAAGCTGAATTCTCAGAGGTATCAGCGTTGCCCCCCACCCTACCCCGGCCCGGCCCGGCCCAGCCCAGCCCAGCCCAGCCCAGCCCATCTGTTAACAGCAGCCAAGGCCCAGGGCCCAGGACTCTGTTCAACAGCCAGCAGCTGCCCTGGCAATGGTGACGGGACAGTCAGACGCTCCTGGGATGCAGCCAGGGGCAACCTTCAGGCTCCTTCCCGCCAGCCCATCGAGCCCTTCTCCTGGGGAGTACTCTGGGCCAGCCAGGCAGCAGCCTCACTGAGGACCACGTTTCCCTTGTGCCACAAGACTTAGGCGCCCCAGGGCTTAGGAAGGTGATTTTATAAAGTGCTCAGGTGGAGAGTGCAACTCTTTCCTATCCTTGCCAACAGAAGAAAAAGGGAGCTTTAGCGAAGGGAGTATCTCTAAAATCCAGGAGGAATTCCCTTAGCTACCCACACTGTTTTCAGATTCATGTTTGGCAGCTATGAAACAAGACACTGAGCTTCCGAGTTGTTTGGATTCTGAAAAAAATCCGCAAAGGCTGGCTTGAACAATGAGGAAGCTGAACACATACTCTGCAAATGAAAAGCTGAGACCCTAGACACCTGCAGGCCAGCCAGGGCAGGCCACAGGCCAGGGAAAGGACACAAGAGGCCCCCTCCTCCAGCTCTTTCTCTTTCCAGACACATCATTCCCTGGCCAGGTCTGGGTGAGGCTCCTCTGCAAGGATCCATTCAGTCCATTCCTTCTAGAGACCGGAGGCAGTGGCCTGGTCCATCAGAAGCAGGCCCTGCGCTGTGCAAAGGAGCGTGATGCCCACACTACCACACGTAGGTCCTCGCCTCTGTGCAGCCTGAAGGTCACACCAGCGCACTCATACATGGGACTCCCACGAGGCAGCATTCCGAGGTGCTGCTTCCCAAAAGGTCCAAGAACTGAGCCACCTTCTATACCAGGAAGGGCTGGGGAGGCCTCGTCCTTACCAGGCCCCTGCAGAAAGCACTCAGTAGGGCAGACACAGAGCATGTCACGTGTCTACAACATGGCTCACCTCGAGAAAAGCCACCCTCCTCTCCTACCCTGAACCCAAAGAGTGGCAGGAAGAAGAGACTCAAGAAGTGGGAGGGGTTAAACGGTAAGCCCAGAAAGAGCCCAGAGTGCAGGGACCTAAGCAGCCTCCTTGAAAGCCCCTCTCAGCGCTACCAGGGTGATGAGCCACTGCCTATGACCTCCAGTGACAAGGCCCAGTCCGCTTTGGTGGCTCCAACTTCCATATCATCATTCCTTAACTCCCGATAGCTCCTGCCCCAGCCCCAGCCCAATTTTTGTCCTAGTCCCACTTTGGGTGCCACAAAGAACACACCCTCTCCCAGGCTGAAGCCCCGGCAGCACCCGGCTCCGGCTGTCCTGGCCCTCCCCAGCCGCTCACTGCCTGTGGTTCCTCTCCTCTCTTGGGAAGACCCTCCTGACTTCAGCAGGACCCAATCCCAAGCTCCCCTTGGGAACAGCACACAGCCCACATTTACACAACCATCACAGCTTTTCACAGTGTCACCTCAGCTGAGGAAACACCTCCAGAATTGCGTTTCCCCTCTCAATCACCCGAGGACTGTTCTTCCCTTCAGAGCTCCATCTGCACACAACCGGGTCAGCTGAGGTTGCCACACAGAGCCCATTTGTGACACAGGGGGTGGGGGGTATAGAACTCCATCCTCAGGCTGTAGAATGCAATAATGGCCAGGCACTGCCTGCCTGCTGAGACACACAGTGATGCTAATAAGTAAAACAATATCATTGTTCAATTTTTACAAATTGGATTTCTCTTATTATAGAAAATCTAAACAGATTTGAAATCTGCTCCTTCCTAAATATATATGAAGTCCAGAATCACCATGGATCCACACAATGGTCCTCATGGGCTCCAAATGACAAAATGTGATTCATGGGAAATAGCAGCAACCTGGGAGAGCTCTGAGACCACAGTCACCTGCCCACCTGCCGGTGACCCTCACACCTGGCTACATTGCCCTGGGTGAGGGGAAGCCCCACCCACGCAGCCAAAGCTATCAGCAATGATAACCCAGGTCATCTCTCTCCCCTGCCACCGTTCCCAGCAGGCCAGGAAAGACTTTTGACCTCACTGCTATCCCCTTGCGTAGATTCTAGAAGCAGCTACTGAGACAAAAGAGCCATCAACCAACTGCCAGATGTTCTGTCCACTGGACACCATGCACCTGGAGGCTAGAACCATCCAGAGGACCCACTGCCTTTTTCATTTTCTGTTGTGTGTAGGGGACAGGAGACAGTGCCGCAGACATTATCCTCACCTATTAGAACTGGCAGTGAATGCTGTTGGAACAGTCCTTGGTCCCAAGGAAGGCAGTCATTTCCTGGGGAGTTTGGTGTGGGCCTCCTAAAATCAACCACTGGAAGCTCCCTAAGGTGAAGTGGCAGAAAAATCATGACACCTGATGAGAGGCACAGTAGGTATCAGCACAGGTGCTGTGCAGCCAGAAAACCACCCCTGAAGAAGACAATTACTACGACACCTGACCACAGAGAGACAAGACTGAAGTGCAAGGAAGGGGTGTGTCTATGACTAGTGCATGTTACCCCAGGAGTGGGGAAAACAAACTAGCAAGTTCATGAACTGCATTTCTGTCCTCTATTTTGCTTACAAAAATCCCTTTTCACTTAGATACTAGGCTTTAATCAAACAATCAAATTGAGAAGTAGAAAAATAAATAGAAGCACAGTTCCAGAAGTGCTAGGAGTCTTCCCTCCAGGGAAATAACTAGGCCTCCAACCTCAGCCCTTACGTGTACATATTCCATGTCCCATTACATTAATATGCAACTGAAAATCCAACATAGAGAACTTGGGAAAAACAAAAATAACTTTTGTATGAGCCTCTCGGCTGACAACGACCCAAGGACTGTTCAGCGGCCCAGGCACCTGAGGAGGAATGACAGTCCACGAGAACATCTTCTGTAGCAACAGCCACCAGGATACCACCAGCAGCACAGCACGCGGGACTCGGTGTCTACCTTCCCTGCAGATCACCTTCTCTCTCGCTGGAATCAACCGCTGCACTGAGATCTACTCATGAAGTAGAAACTTCTTTATGGGGTCTGGCAGAGGCAGTGAAGGAATCAGATGAAGCCGGTATTTGCCAAGAGCTCTTCTCACAGCCACACGGCACAAACTCAGCAAGGTTCTGGGAACACCTGGAGGTCACGGGAAGAAAGGGAGGGACAGAGGAAGGTTAATTCTATCCTAGCTCTAGAGAGCAAAGGCAGCTGGGACTAGCAGCCAGAACTGCACAAATGCTCACTACCAACTTCAAAATGCTCAGTGAGACACAAAGTGATGGCTTTTCCTGATGGATGAAGAGAGGAGGCCCCAGGGAGGAAGGTCTTCTAATCTGCTCCTTCTGTTGGAGGAAGGAGCGAAACCTTTACAGCCTCATTAACCCAGGCATCTGCTCCCTGGGTCGCAACCTGACCATGTTTAATGCACTAGACAAAGAAATCACAGTGGACCATTGAAGGTCCTGGCAGGTGCAAGCCACTGGCACCCAGCCTCTGTCAGCCTCTTCTCTTGGTCAAACCCTGAAGCTCTACAAGAACCTAAGGAACACGGGCGGAGCAGTGCCTGTGGGGCACAGACTGACGACTTTGCTCCCAATGAAAAGAGCGCAGCCAAGTTCTGCCTCAGTTAGCGAGGAAGCTGATGAGTGGAACAGTCATGAAAGCAAGCTGCTTTTTCTATCAGTATGGTTCCCAGCTGACCATTAACTATTTGCGGGAAGGCTACACAGGAGCATGCTTTAATGAATTGGTTTAGGGAAATCGAGTAACAAAAACACAATGGATTTAGTCCTTTGAGAAGCAGGGAAGGAAGAGGTTACCAACTTGGATGTCTCGGGACCCAGTCTGGGAGCGGTGGGAGAGGGAGACGTGTGGGCAGGAGGTCAGAGAGGACACACGAGGTCAGTGTCTGAATCCCCGTGAGAGCCTCAGATGACAAGAGCAAGCCACAATCAATTCCAATCTCTCGTGCTATAGATGCATTAATCGTTAAAAAAAAAATCCTTCTTCATAAATAAGCAGACTAGGAACTTTATTGTAACAAAACAGGCTTATCACACAATCCAAAATAGCGATACTTGAGTGGAACTGAAGAAGGGAAAGTGAGGAACCCTAGAAAGCCACTTACAATTTGTTTTAAGGGCTCATTTAAAAACCAGGCATAAAAGAAGTCACTGTCTGTAAGAATCTGGGGCCAGAAAGCAGAGCAAAAGGGTAAAGAAAATATAATTCTAGGCCAGGGCAGTGGCTCACGCCTGTAATCCTAGCACTTTGGGAGGCCAAGGCAGCAGAACACTTGAGCCTAGGAATTCAACACAAGCCTGGGTAACACAGCAAAACCTCATCTCTACAAAAAATACAAAAATTAGCCGGGTATGGTGTGCGCCTATAGTCCCAGCTACTTGGCAGGCTAAAGGGGGAGGATCGCACAAGCCCCAGGAGGATACGGCCACAGTGAGCCATGATTGCACCACTGTATTCCAGCCTGGGTGACAGAGCGAGACCCTGTCTCAAAAAAGGAAAGAGAGAGAGAGAACATAATTCTAGGAGTTCTAACAACACACATGTACTTTTAGAGATTTCCTGATATCGATTCTTGGTATCCAGGAATTTAAAAAGAGAAGATCAATCTGAATAACTGTCTGGAAAACTGCAAGTGCTAACTGAACATTTTGGCCAAGTGCTCAGTTAGAAGTTTTTTTGTTGTTTGTTTTTTTGTTTATTGCTACAACTTGATTCATTCAATCAACCCAGGCCACAAGTCAGAGCTGAACTCAGGCCACTTACTTCTGGCCTCTTTAAAGATCTGCAAGGCCTCAGGGTCTACCTTTCTTCTTCCTCTTGACTCTGGACCCAGGGACTCCCACTTCACCAGATTCAGGTTGGCTCCAAACTCTACCAGCAGGCTCACGAAGGCTGCCTCACAGCCATGACGCAGGACTGCATCCATGACGCACCCAGGAGAGCCCCTATAGAATCCCTGTGTGTTGACAGGACCATTGCAATTGAAGTCAGGGTTCGCTCCAGCCAGAAGGAGCAGCCGGAAGCACTGGAGGTTGTGGTAGGCTGCACTGATGTACAAGGGGCAGACCACCAAGGAGGTGAGCCGCCGGGAGAATCGGGGCTGGACGTCAGGAGTCAGGTGGTGGTTGACATCAACATCAGCCCCGTACCTGCAGGGAAGAAAGGGAAAATCAGAATGTGCAGGGGACTGACCACAGCCCACAGATCCCACACCAGGGGCTACAGGAGACTTCACGGATCAGATTAATTTGGTGACACCAGGCGCTACAGGAGACTCCACAGATTAGATAGATTCATTACAATCAGCAAGATGAGGCAGCAGGAAAGAACTTGGAATCCCTGCACATACAGTAATTCCTAAGGGAAGTCTCCTTCAAACCTTTAAAGGTCCAATAATCCCAAGGCTATTTAAACTATTTCAGAGCAAAGAAAAAGAGAAGCTTCCAAATTCATCTGACAAAACTGGCACAATAGCCCAAAACCCAACAAAGGCCAAAGCATAGGAAAAACTACCAACTAATTTCATTTACGAGTATCAATTTTAAATCTTCCATAAAATATTAGCCAAAGAGAATCCTAAAGCATATTAAGAAAGCAATATGCCATGACCTCGTGGGAGTTATCCCAAGAATGCACACAGTTAGCTCCAATATTATAAACACTATGAATATAATCAAATGTAAAACAAGGCCAAGGGGAAATTCCTCTGATGATCTCTGCAGATGCAAAATAAGGAAAAAAAAAGAGGGCATATGACAAAACTTAAGAGCTGTGCATGTTTAAAAATGCTCAGTAAAACAGAAAGTGATGGCTTTTCCTTAACATGATAATACATATTTCCTCAGGCCAGAAGTCAGTATATCATTTAACAGGGAAAGGCTAGAAGCACTCCTGCCAAAGCTGGATCGAGACAGATTGCTGCTTTCCAGCCTCCTAATAAACACGGTGTTAAAGGTACCCTGTGCAATTAGTCAAGAGAAACAATTAAATGCATAAGATTGGAAAATAAAAGGTAAAAAATTTCCCCTTTTCAGAGGATACGACATGTCTGAAAAGCCCTAAATAATATGGAAAAACTAACAAGCAATGAGATAACTTATTGAAGTAACAGGTTGTAAAACCAATAGCCTTCATATAAAAATAAAACTCCATTTATGATAGAAAAATAAATTTCACAATGACATATCCAAGCATAAACTTAACAATAAATGTCCAAAATTAGCGTAAGGTAAATAATAAACTATAACTGAACGTGAATAAAGGTAGACCTAAGAGAACAGAAAGACATGGCACAATGCTGGGTAAGACGCAACATTGTTAAGATAATTCCCCCTAAATTTATTTTATAAATGAAAATATCATTACTAGAATAAGTTGACTACAAACATAAATAAATAAAAACAGCATCCCTGGAGCTGCATTAGTTGATTTATAAAGTTCATCTGTAAGCTCAAACAAGATGAAAAAGTCAAGCAATAATGTAGGGTGGGAGGTAGCCACACCATAAGTGAAATTTACTATAAAGGCTAAAAATAAAACTGTGGTATTGGTATGTGAACGAAACTGACAGAATAACGAAACTTTAGAGAAAATCTTGAAATGGGCCAAATTGCATATAGAAATTTCATATATAAATAAAGGCAGCATCTCAAATAAGGCAGGGATGTGGACGTCTTAATAAGTGTTTTTTGGGATAACTGGACATCCATATGGAAGAAGGTAAAAGTAAATCCATTCACCATAGCATATACTGGAATACATTCCAAATGAATCAGAATTTAAAACGTGAAATATGAAGCCATGCAAAAACTAGAAAAAACCTCTAAGTAAAATTTGCCTAATTCTGACACAAAATCCACAACGAAAATGTTTTTAACATAAAAATTTTGAAAAGAAAAACTTTTGCATGGCGTAAGCATGACATAACAATATAAGCAAAGTAAAACAATCAATGAAAAATTGGGGAAAATGTTACAAAGGATTAATATCCCTAACATATAAAGAGCTTCTAAAAGAAAAAGACCAATAGCCCTGTAGAAAAATTAGAGAGATGGGGACAGGCACAGTGGCTCACGCCTATAATCCCAGCACTTTGGGAGGCCAAGGCAGGCAGATCACTTGAGGTCAGGAGTTTGAAACTAGCCTGGTCAACTAGCCTGTCGCTACTAAAAATACAAATGTTAGCTGGGCATGGTGTCATGCACCTGTGATCCCAGCTACTCAGGAGACTGAAGCAAGAGAATTGCTTCAACCTGGGAGGCAGAGGTTGCAGTGAGCAGAGATGGTGCCATGCACTCCAGCCTAGGCAACAGATCAAGATTCCATCTCAAAAAAAAGAAAAGAAAAAAGTTAGAGAGATGGACAGCTACAAATGGCTCTTAGCCACAGGAAAAGACACTCAGCCTCACTCAGAACAGAAATGCAAGTTAAAACTATTCTGAGATATCACTTCTCACCTATCAGATTGGGAAAAATCCAAAAATTTATTGACCAGGTTAGAAAACAGAAAGTCTCATTCATTGTTTGAGCAATGAAAAGTAAACACTCTCCCTATGGAGGGGGGAAATCTGACAATCACTAGCAAAATTACATAAGCATTTAACCTGTTAATCAATCACATTTCTCAGGATCTATTTCCAAAATACATCTGCAAAACTATGAAAAAATGTATGCACAAGGCAATTCATTAAAGCACTATCCGTAACAGCTGGAGACAGTACAGCACCCACGTGTCCACTAACAGGGGACTGGCTGAATGAACTGCGGCTCATCTGCACAATGTAGCACTGCGAAGCTCTGAAAAGGAGTGAGGAGGGCTGCCATCCACTGCTCCGGAACGGCCTCCAAGCACAGGAAGCGGGGAGGAAGCAGGACAGTGAGAGTGTACAGTCCACTACTGTTTCTATGGGGGAGCAGGTTGCAGTGTGCTTATGGTAAACCATGGAATTTTTTAATGGTTATCTACTGGGAAGGGAGAGAACAGGATGAAGGAGACAAGGATACAAGCTAGACTTCCAAAAATTTGTACCTTGGCCAAGCATGGTGGCTCATGCCTGTAATCCCAACGCTTTGGGAGGCCAAGACAGGCAGATCACTTGAGGCCAGGTGTTCACTAGCCAATATGGCAAAACCCAGTCTCTACTAAAAATACAAAAAAAAAATTAGCTGAGCATGGTAGCAGACACTTGTAGTCCCAGATACTCAGGAGGCTGAGGCATGACAGTCACTTGAACCCAGGAGGCAGAGGCTGCAGTGAGCCAAGATTGTGCCACTGCACTACAGCCTGGGCAACAGAGCGAGACTGTCTCAAAAAAAAAAAATTTAGGCCTTGTTTTATTTGACTTTGGAACCATGTAAATTTTTTATGTTGTAAAACAAAATTAAGTAAAAAGCAATCCTTAAAAATTGAAAGCAGCCGGGCGTGGTGGCTCATGCCTATAATCCTAGCACTTTGGGCGGCAGAGGCAGGCAGATCACCTGAGGTCAGGAGTTTGAGACTAGCCTGACCAACTTGGCGAAACCCCATCTCTACTAAAAATACAAAAATTAGCTAGGCGTGCTGGCCAGCACCTGTAATCCCAGCTATTCGGGAGGTTGAGGCAGGAAAATTGCTTAAACCCAGTGGGGCAGAGGTTGCAGTGAACCGAGACTGCCCTACACTCCAGCCTGGGCAACAGAGTGAGACTCTGTCTCAAAAAAAAAAATTTTTTTTTAAGCAAAAAGAAACACATGAACTCAATCAGGTATCCAGCTGGTGCCATAATGCGCTGCCCAGAAGGACGTCTTTCTTTTCAGGCACACTAAACATCTGGACTCCCGTGATTAGCACAAACCACTCCCAGCGTCAGGTTCACTTGGAAGGCCCCAGGCCAGGATGCACAGCTTGCTGGCAGGGGAGCATCACACAGCTCTCCACATGGGCATGCAGACGGCCATGAGCAAGGGAACCCCTAGGCTGCCCCTCCTGACCCCCAGCAGCAGCCTGGATGGGAGGAAACAAATCTCACACAGGGCAGGTGCAGGAGCCACCTGACTTAGAAGCCTCATTGTCCACCAAAGCCAATCTCTAAATGACTCCACTGACTTCACTTGCCCTTGTCACTCAGAGATGACCAAATACACTGCTCTCCATCAGGCACTTAGGGTTCTTCCAGGCCAAGTGCAAACTCCTAATCATTTTTACTCTGAACAGGGATCAGCCAATGAGGAGGCCCTGGCTCCCAGAGTCCTGGCAAAGTGAGGCCACTTATCAAGAATGGCTACCTGGCATGAGGTATAAGAGCACAAACAGGCCAGGAGCCATGTATGGGAAGGGGCCGCAAAAGGAGGCTGGCTGGTGCCACACAGAGGACAACATGGCCAACACAGGTAGTGTGTGAAGGGGCGGGGGAGCCAGGTTCTCACTGGTGAAAGGAAGAAACTAGGAAGAACCTTGTGGCGTTAGCCTGGATTAAGGGTAGCCAGGTGAACTCCTGTCAATGTATATAAAGAAATATAAACCGGACACGGTGGCTCACGCCTATAATCCCAGCACTTTGGGAGGCCAAGGCAGGTGGATCATGAGGTCAGAAGTTCAAGACCAGCCTGACCAACATGGTGAAACCCCATCTCTACTAAAAATGCAAAAAAAATAGCTGGGTGTGGTGGTGAGCGCCTGTAATCCTAGTTCCTTGGGAGGCTGAGACAGAGGAATTGCTAGAACCAGGGAGGTGGAGGCTGCAGTGAGCCGAGATCACACCACTGCACTCCAGCCTAGGTGACAGAGCGAGACTCTGTATCAAAAAATAAAAAAATAAATATAGACAAAAATGTGGAATGTACATACAACCTTAGCTTGGTCCAGGAGGAGGGTGTGAAAACAGTGACACCCCAAAAGCAACAGGCACTCCTAGCATCCAGATGTAGGTTTCTGCACACCATTCTTCACTAAAAGAAACCTTGGAGAAATGACTTATTCCAGGACTTAGACAGTCAAAGTGCAAGATGAACAAGAATATCTTGTTCCATGAAAAAAGAACTACTCACAGAATGATAAGGACATGTCAAAAGGACAGAGACAGCTTGAAGCAGCTATCAGTAGCCAAATCTGGGACAACATGAATTTCAACTTAAGTAACAATCATAATGAATAACTCATTGAATAATATCAGAAACCATGATTCTATACGAACAAATAAATAAATGAATAATTAAAAATCTGAGATGAACAGGATATATACACAGTTGCAGAGCACCTCTCTATAGAATCCTAATTACAGAGAGAACAGGAATGCTTTACAGTACGGAAACATGGCAGGCACCATCTTCAACAAGTAATGGAAGTGAGCATCAGCAGTAATGGACACACTGAGATCACATGCAGCCTGACGGAGGGAATGGGAACACAACCTCACTTCAAGATTCCTGCCCAAAGCGCATTAGTGACTCTAATCTGAGTCAGCGTTAGAGTCAGCACCTGTTTTCTTGAGCTTTCATCAGCCCCACACGGTCCCGCAATGTCTCTCTCACAAGATTCATCACCACCAAAGTATTTCATTTGAAAATAGGAAAGGGCAGTATGTGGAGAGCAGCGATGGCAGGGCCAGAACACACAGGGCGCGGGGAGGCCAGAACAGCGTCGTCTTCCATGCCACAATCAAGCGCTGGCCGACAGGAACGGCCAGCAACCAAGCTTTCCAATCGCCTCCTCGGCACCATCCAAGTGTCCACAGAAACGTTTCCCTGGAACCGAAACAGCTACTTTCAGGCAACACAGGCCTGAGGACGAGAACAGGGACCAACTCACTCACATGACAATTTAGCTTCCACAACAAACACAAGCATCACTCACTCTCCAAGACATTCTAGAGTGACAGGGGAAGCATTCTAAAACACACAGAACCAACAAGAAATTCATATTTCATTTCATACACCCAACCAATTAAGCAAAGGAAAACTAGATCTCAAGCAGTGATGGCTTTTTTCTCCTTATTCTTAGGGAAAATCTTCCAAAACATTTGTAATGTTGGGCAATATGACAATCTGGTATAAGCTGAGCTGTGGGAAAGATTGCCCTTCATCCACTCATAAAAATATACTGGATGAGATCCAGTTAATTTTAATTCTGAATTTTTTCCAAATTCTATTGCGTTTAATACCACTGTCAAGGAACCACTGGGAGAACTCAATAAATCAATATAACTTTTGCACATACAGAAATACCATTCTGTACCTTTTCTCTAAAATATGAGCAATATATACCAAGGGAATTTACAAATAACAAAATGGAGGTAACTTATAGAGGGACAGAAAATTGCAATCGTGAAAGATGAGAGCCCTAAGAGGGAACTGGCACAGGGAAGGCACAGCGAAGTTATTTCCAAATAACATCGCTGTTCAGTAACTTAACCACATCACTCTACCTTCCAACAGTCAATTATCTTGGAACTTAAACTATAGGAAACTTTTTAATAGAATAATATATGTTTTGGTACTGCCTTGTACAAGTAATGCCCTGTGCTCCAGTGAGGGAGTAAGATGTCTTAGCAATGTTTTCACAAGAAGGGCATCTGTGTACATACTTCTCGGTCGGCCTACAGGTTTCAAAGCACTTGTGCATCATGAATTGACTGAAATGCCCAAAGGGATTTCTGGAACCAATATGGAATTTCACTGATTGATCCTACTCAAAAACACTTCCAAATTAATAGCTTACATTCTCCAAGATGCTGAGGACGAGCATGGGACTGAGGTAGCTTAATCAGGTTAGAAATCCTTAAAAAGAGGAAAAAAGCCTCATGGCTTTAGCATCCTCTTAACCTAACAACCTTACCACTCTCATTTCTTTATCCTCCCAAAAGCCAATTGTGTAGCTATTTAATTTACAAAACCAGAAAAGCTTATTCTCAGTGCCTAATTTAAAAACCATGTTCTGTGCTGGGTAAAGGGAATGCCAGGTCCCTGCTCCTCAGAACCAACCTGGCTGCAGCCTCTAACAACAGAACCCTTCCTTACCCAATCCTTTCCAATACGGAAACATTTCCCTGAGAACCAGCTACCTAAACTGCACCCTGTCCAAATGCAGAGCAATTTGGTCTCCAGAGTAAGGGAGGGAAAAAAGCATCTTTGCTGGAAAGAAGTCACTAAAAACATGAAAAATAAAAACCCAATCTGGTTCCAAAGGAAAAAAAAAAAGGCAACCATTAGTATGATTAAAATAAGACGTAAACATAATAAAATGGAAGGGGAAAGCAACGAAAACATACATGAAGAAAAGATATCAAATGCAAATAGTTACAAAACAGAAAGAAAACAGAAATAGACCCTAACATCAGCTATAGCAATAATGTTAACTGTATTAAAGAGCAAAAACTCCTAGACAAATAGTTCTACACAAGTGCAAACAGAACTACTGAAACGCGCTAGGATTAAAAATATTATATAATGCCATGTAAACTGGCCTTAAATGAAACTAACAGTGCTCTTGTTTTGACAGAGCGTCATACATAAGCAGGAACTTTTATGAGCTCAATTAGCATCAGCATTTTCAAAACAAAACTTATTCAAAGTACAAGGGGAAAAATGGCAAAATCACAATGTGATTAGAGACTAACAGACTTCTTCAAATTTCTGGCATATCCAATGGCAAGAAAATTTAAAAAAAAAAAGAGAGAGAGAGAGTTAACCTAATTTAGGTTAACAAAGTATAATACGTAAATAAAACGCCCATGGTCATGTACTTGTTTCAAGCATTCACAACAACGTAATCTGACATTAATAAGTAACAATAATAAGCCAGCACAGTGGTGCACAGCTACAGTGTCAGCTACCAGGAAGGCTGAGACTGGAGGATCACTTGGACCCAGGAGTTTGAGGGTGCAGTGAGCTATGATCACACCATAGCACTCAAGCCTGGGCAACAAAGTTAGGCCTCATCTCAAAAACTAAACAAAAATAATAATAATAATAACTTATTTAAAATTCAAAGAATCCCCAAAATGAAAACTTTATGGTCCATGTCATCTGAGCATAAAGTGTTATTAAAACCTTATCTTCCATAACTCTAAGAACAAAGAGGAAAGCAACTTCAATTAGAGCTACTTAAAAAATAAGGAAAAAGCTTAGAGAAGATGATCAAAACTATAGTAAAGGTTAAGTTAACCTTACAAGTTTTCATTCTTTTTATTTTTTTGAGATGGAGTCTCACTCTGGAGTGCAGTGGCACATATTGGCTCACTGCAACCTATACCTCCCGGGTTCAAGCAATTCTCCTGCCTCAGCCTCCAGAGTAGCAGGGATTACAGGTGCTTGCCACCACACCTGGCTAATTTTTTTTTTGTATTTTTAGTAGAGATGGGGTTTCACCATCTTGGCCAGAATGGTCTCGACCTCTTGACCTCGTGATCCACATGCCTTGCCTCCCCAAATGCTAGGATTACAGGCATGCACCAAAGTTTTCATTCTTAATCAAACAAACAAATAAAAAAAAAAAGGACTAAGCATTCAACTCAAAAGGGAAAAAAATGAAAAATCAGAAAAAGATAAAAGCAGATATAAAGGAACACGTAGGCAGAAAAACAAAGAGCTGATAAAGCCAAGAAGCAGCTCTTTACAAAGACCAGCAAAACAGGAGAGTCATCCAACGAAGCAAATTCTAAACAGAGAAAAATTACAAATACAGAGAAGAAAAGTGAAGTGGCCACAGGAGCCCAGCGGCCAGGAGCCCCGCAGTACTGACCTGATGAGAGCCTTCAGGATGTCAGCCCGGCCCACACGAGAAGCATGGTAGACGGGGGTGCTGCGATGGTGCCGGCTTCCGTTGGGGTCTGCGCCTGCTTCGAGAAGGATCTGGGCACTCTCTAGGTGCCCGTTCACCACAGCCACATACAGGGCCGTCTGTCCTTTTACGTCCACCAGATCCACCTCAGCCCCCTTCCGGATAAGGAAGTCCACACAGTTCCCATGGCCAGCAGTGGCCGCGATTCGCAACGGTGTGCAGGGGAGCCAGCCACAGCACCAGACAGACTTCTCGTTGATGCGGCTGCAGGAGGAACACAAGGGGGCTCATGAGATGCAGCCCCAGAACAGGGGCAGGTTGCAATGCCCCCCTCACCCTGGCCCATAGACAGACTCTCGAGGAGGTGACTGACAAAGTCCCCCACTGGTTAATCACACCTCCAGTTAATGGGCTCTGCCTTCTGAAATGCTTACACAACTTTCCCCTGTGGAACCTGAGCATGACAGAGCAGGGCAGGCATTCCCAGCCCCATTCCAGAGACAGGAAACTCGAGGCATCAGCAGAATGATCAGCACCAATACTAAGACCCCTAGTTCTTAGATTTCCTGACTGCTGTCCAAAGTGCCTTCCTCTACACAGGTGGAAAGGGTCTGTCTGCCTGGAAGGCAGGGCCAAATGAACAGCACACTCACCCAGGAGTCTGGGTCAGGCCACTCTTCCCCAGTTACCACATGTAAAGGCTTGAGGCTGGGCCTCTCTCTGGACCTCAGCATCCTCACCAGGACTAGGTGACCATGTAGGCCCCCCAACCTCTAGCACTGAACAAATGATGGCCTAAAGGATCACTAAGGTGGCATGGGGGCTACACCCTAGGCCAACAGCTGTGGAGGAACCTGTCCAGACTCAGTTCTCAGCAGATATCGCAATCAGACTGCAACTGCCTGCCCCAACCACTAACCCAGCAAGGCAGCAACCGCAACCAGTTCACAGCAAGCTCCTGGTGTAACTGAGAACAAAGCTCAGGGGCCCAGAGCATCAAACCAGGCCCCAGGAACATGCAGCAGGAGCAGCTCCGCAAGCCAGCCCTCCAGGCTCCACGACCAGCTGTGCCCCAGCTCTGACTGCACAGGAAAGTCAAGGGAGGAATGCTCCAGGAACTCATCACCAAAGAAGTGACAAATAGCAACAGGAAAATGTAAAGAAACAGAGACGCCCTGGACCTGAGTAAAGGAAGAAGAATAAACAGTGCTGGGAAAAGCAATAGAAAAGACTAGGTCTGAGGCCTCACTGAACTCTCATTCCACTGTTACATCTGCAAGTTTAATTCAGGTTTGCTTTGGGCTTGAGTCATCCACATTAAATATTTGTACGTGACCCATCCATCTTCATCTGACAGTCCTTTCTGGTATTTTTCTTTTAAAAACTGATATTATTCTGATGAAATATCACTAAGACACTAGAAGGAAAGGAAGAAACACATTCCTGTACTGTTAGAAATCCTTTTCTTGGAAACTATCCAAAGAAAAGTGGTGGCATTCGTCTCGGCACCGACATGTAGGCATTGCTTCTATCATCGCACTGCCGTTTGGGTCCTGAAGGAACAGCAGAAACACAAAGGCAGCACGGACAGCTCCCGGCTGCAGCTGAGTTTAAGCTTTAGCTGGGACTCCAGCCTTAAACCCGTAGAAGAATCAGAGAACACTCCAGAGAGCAGGCAAATTCTGCTCTCCCAGGCATCCTGAGCAGGGAGAGGGAGGGGCAAGCATCAGCTGCTGTGAACGAAGGGCTGGAGCCGTTTTGAGGGGACAGGCAGAGTTTGTCAAGGCCAGGGCAGGGGACCACTGATAAGGAGAACAGTAAGGAGAAAGGTGATGAGGCAAAGGGCCTAAGGCTGAGGCCCAGGTCCCGGAGGCAGATGACTGAGGGCCTGAGAAGCAGAGGAGAGGGCGCCAGGGAAGCTGGTGAAGGAAGGTGAACGTACAGAAGCTCCTGAGATCAACAGCCCCAAGAGACCCAAGATGGGGCAGGGCCACCACTGAAGAGGGAAACGGTACTGCCTTCAGGGGTGACATCAGGAGGCTGAGGCCCACAGAGGCCCAGAGAGCCAGAAAACACTAAGGTCAATGACAGAGCAGGATCTGAAGTCAGGTCTCCCTGCCCACACTATCTGGCTGTCTCCTACAACTCTGACCAAGCTGCTTCAGTCTCCTTTTTCCCCTTCCTCTAAAACTGGAACACATTCCTCCCAACATCAAGGTCTTTATCTGTAATCCTGACCATGGGGCTCAGCTTCAGGCAGCCCTACAGGGCTCAAGTGCCCGGACCAGCCCCGGGGCAGCGCCGCTCACCTCCGGTAGCTCTCCTCTTGCAACAGGTTCCTTAGGGTCTGGAGGTCCCCGACGTAGGCTGCATCATGGAGCCTCGTGTCCTCACAGTGCTCCAGTGGATGATCACAAAACTGCTCCCTCAGCCACTCCTTCAGATTACGACCTGCGCTGAAGAGAGGGGCTCCTGTTAGCTCAGGGAGGCCCTATTAAGGTTAACCAAAAGGGGGTGCCATCTGCAGCAAGTCTTCCCTCTCCCAGCTATGGGGCACATTCAAATGCTCAAGAAATAAATCACAAGCTGGGCATGGTGGCACGCCTATAATCCCAGCTACTCAAGAGGCTGAGGCAGGAGGATCACTTGAGGCCAGGAGTGCAAGACCAGCCTGAGCAACACAGCAAGACCCTATCTGTCTTAAAAACAAAAAGAGAAAATAGTAGAAACTTTCCCTTATAAAACTAGCACATTCCTGACACCAACCCTGACAAGATTAATTTTTTAAACGTTGGTGGGGCCCAGGGATTATAAGCCAAACCTACTGAAGAATACAGAAGCAAGATCCTAAGGAAAATATTTGCAGATTGAATCAATACTGTATCAAAGAATCTAGCATGCAATTACTCTAATTTAGTCCAAGTATATGGGAATATCTTAAAACTGGGAAACTATGAAAGAGAACCATCGTCATCTCCTTCACTACAAAAAAAGACATAGGGCAAAACCCAAGGGCTGAGTAAATGCTGCTGTTTGCTACACGGATGACTCCCTACCATGCTGCCCTGTGTAACGGCCACAGGGAGGCCTGCCTAAGAAACTCATGAGAAAGGTGCACTTGACCATACAGAAGTTCCACCTCAATCAAAAAGGTTAAAAATACATGTACGTAAACATAAATCCAGCCCATATAATGAAGACTATAAAACTGAAAGGCAACACAAAAGAACAGAATAAGCAGAAAAAACACACCATGCCCTTGGATAAAAAGATTCAATATTTAAGGAATTTTAAATAAAGTACAAACCATTTCTTTGGGGTTTTGTTATCAGACGTCACAAAAAATATTCTAAAGTGTATCTGAAAATATAAATAGGGGAGAACTTTTCTGGTTTTTTTAGTAAGTTACAGAGAAAAGGCCCTACCCTACTAGGTAACAGAATACTCATCAAAATAAAGATTAATAAATTAAACCATCAACACCCAGAAAGACCTCAGTACAAACAACTCAATACCAGCACCCTTCGCTGCACTGCACTTCACTTTATCAAGCTCCAGAGAGAGCTGTGTTTTTTACAAACTGACGGTCTGTGGCAACCCTGTATTCATACAACAGGATGTGTTCATTCTGTGTCTTCTGGGTCACAATCTGGTAATTCTTGGAATATTTCAAACTTTTTCATTATTATTTTATCTGTTATGGTGATGAGTGATTTGTGATGTTACTACTGTAATTGTTTTGGGGGGCCACAAACTGTGCCCATATGAGACAGTGTGCTTAATCCATCCACGGGGTCTGTGCTGGTCATGACTGCTCCACCAACCAGCCGCTCCCTGTCGCTCCTTGTCACTCGCTGTCTCTCTCTCTCTCTCCCCTCAGCCCTCCCTGTTCCCCAGACACAGTACTGAAACTAGGGTAATTAATAAGCCTATGCTGGCTTCTGAGTGTTCAAGTTAAAGAAACAGTCATACATCTCTCACTTTAAAAGTTAGAAATGATTAAGCTTAATGAGAAAAGCATGTGGAAAGCTGAGAAAGGTTGAAAGCTAGGCCTCTTGTGCCAGGCCCTAACTCTCTCCAATTCTATGAAGCCTGAGAGAGCTGAGGAAGGTGCAGAAGCAAAGTCTAAAGCCAGCAGAGATTGGTTCACGAGGTTTAAAGAAACCATCTCCATCACACAAAAGTACAAAGTGAAGCAAGTGCTGATGTGGACATTGCAGCAAGTTATTCAGAAGACATGGCTAAAAGATAATTGGTGAAGACAGCTACACTAAACAACAGATTTTCAATGTAGAAGAAACAGCCCTCTATTGGAAAAGATGCCATCTAGGACTTTCACAGCTAGAGAGAAGTCAATGCCTAGTGTCAAGGCTGTAAAGGACAAGCCACTCTCTTGTTAGGGGCTAACGCAGCCAGTGACTTTAAGATGAAGTCAATGTTCACTCACCATTCCAAAACTCCTTCTGCCTATGCACTAAAAATGAAACAACCAAGTCCAGGTGGCAGCACAACTGTTCACAGCATGATTTAGTGAATATTTTCAGCCCACTGTTGAGACCTACTGCTCAGAAGATTCCTTTTACAATAGTATTGCTCACTGACAAAGCACCAAGTCATTCATGAGCTCTCACGGAGACGTACAAGATTCATGCTGTTTTCATGCCTGCAAACATAGCCATTCCACAGCCTGTGGATCAGGGAGTCATTCTGGCTTTCACGTATTAACATCATTTAATACAATTTGTAGGGCTACTGCTGCCATAGATAGTGGTTCCTCTGATGGTTCTGGGCAAAAATGAATTAAAAACCTTCAGGAAAGGATTCACCAATCTAGATGTCATTTAGAACATTTGTGATTTGTGGGAGGAGGTCAAAATATCAACTTTAACAGGGGTTTGAAAGAAGTTGATTCCAACCCGCATGGATGACTTTGAGGGGATCAGGACTTCAGTGGAAGAAGTACCTGCAGATGTGGTAGAAATCACAAGCAAACTAGAATTACAGCCTGCAGATGTGACTAAATTACTGCAATGTCATGATAAAACTTGAATGGATGAGGAGTTGTTTCTTATGGATGACCAAAGAAAGCGGTTTCTTAAAATGAAATCTACTCCTGGTGAAGATGCTGTGAACACTGTCAAAATGACAACAAAGGATTTAGAAGGCTACATACACTTCATTGATAAAGCAGCAGCAGGGCTGAAGAAGACTGATTCCAATTTTGAAAGAAGCTCTACTGTGGGTAAAATGCCATCAAACAACATCTCATGCTACAAAGAAATCTCATGAAAGGAAGAGCCAGTCAATATGGCAACTTCATTGTCATCTAATTTAAGAATTACCACTGCCCCTTGATGAGTCAGGAGCCATCAATACTGAAGCAAGATGCTCCACCAGCAAAGTTTGTGACTGATAGCTCAGACGATGGTGAGCATTTTTCAGCAATATTTTTTTAACTAAAATGTGTATATTTTTAGGCATAATGGTATTATTGCACTCTTAATAGACCATAGCATCATGTAAACATAACTTATATATGCACTGGGAAACCAAAAAATTCACATGACTTGCTTTATTGCACTATTCACTTGATCACAGTGTTCTGGAACTGAACACACACTATCTCCAAAGTGTGCCTGAAATTATAAACCAGCATCAAAATCAGCAAGAATGTAAGAGTATTCAACAAATGGCATTTGTACCATTAGGTACTTATTTGGAAACACTGAGTTATTCACCTCATATCACAACTGAAAATAAACTCCTGAAGATTTACGTTTTGTAAAAATAGTTACACAGATTCGCATGTACGTAACAAGCAAAAACACAGACGGCTTGGATTCAAGTCCCTGCCTTGCCATGCTGTACTAGAGTGAGACCGGACATGCAGGTATAAAGCACACCCTCCATAAGGAGCTCTTCCAGGTGCTGAAATTTTTTTTTTATATTAAAATCAAATATCTTTTGGGTACTACTATAGACAAGACTCAACCACAGGTACGAAGGGGTGATGAGGAAGTGTCCTTGCCCTCCAGGATTTGAGTCCATTGGGTTGCTCACGCTGATTCCACAACCAGACCGGCCACAGATCAACAAGCAGGCATGAACAGCTCTTTATGCCACTATCCCAGTCTTCCTTCAGTAACTATCCTCCCCTGTAATTAACCCCACAGTTGTGGTTACCACAGAGTGAAAAAGTTCAAAGTAGGGGTGGGAAAGATTCAGGTGTAAGGCAATAACCAACAGGTAAACAGCAGCCGCAGGACTTTTGCTGAGCTCTCTTCTGGGCCCCCTCTGCTGGCCCCTGTGCTATCCAATTCTGGTCCATCTCAAAAGTAGCCTCAGAATCTTTCCCCAGCTCCAGATTCAAAAGCAACTTCAAGTTTGTGTTTTGCTGACCAACTATTCCAATAACAACACAACTGCCCCAGGATAGCACTTAAGCTTCAACTGAAAATCTGTTGCCCCTCCACCCCAGGCCCAAAACCCACTGAATAACAAAACAGCAGTGCATGAGGATATAAAAAGGAGCCTTCGGTTGGGCACAGTGGCTCAAGCCTGTAATCCCAGCACTTTGGGACAGAGGCCGCGCAGATGACGAGGTCAAGAGACCGAGACCATCCGGGGCAACATGGTGAAACCCCTTCTCTACTAAAAACACAAAAATGAGGTGGGCATGGTGGCGCATGCCTGTAGTCCCAGCTACTCGGGAGGCTGAGGCAGGAGAATCGCTTGAACCCAGGAGGCGGAGGTTGCAGTGAGCCAAGACTGCACCACTGCACTCCAGCCTGGTGACAGCGAGAGACTCCTTCAAAAAAAAAAAAAAAGACCCCCTGTAATCCCATCACTTTAGGATGCCAAGGCCAGGGGATCACCTGAGCTCAGGAGTTCAAGATCAGCCCCGTCAACATGGTGAAACCCCATCTCTACTAAAAATACAAAATTTAGCCGGGCAACTACTCGGGAGGCTGAAGCAGGAGCATGGCTGGAACCCGGGAGGCGGAGGCTGCAGTGAGCCAAGATCATGCCTCTGCAATTCAGCTTGGGCAACAAGGGCTAAACTCCGTCTCCAAAAAAAACAAAAAAAAAGAGGAGCCCTGTGCAGCCGCCAAAGCCAGTGTTCCTTCCCCAGGACCCCTCTCTATACCGGGAAGTAGCTGTTAGTCCTCTTTTTCCCACAGAACACCTCTCATTCCGTCTCACTCTCTCACATGGAATGACATCCTAGACCCTAAAGCCCTGGCTGTCTCTGAAGTCAAAGTCAATGCCAACCAAAGCCCAGGGTGGTGGATGCTTTGTCTGGCTTGCTGTGGTCACTGCAGTTTCCCCCGCTGGGTCTAGCCAACAGTAGGTCTTCAACAAAGTCTCTTAAGTGATTGGAAGCAGGTGGGGAGGGAGGGAGGGATGGAAAAGCCTATCCGCAGCAGTCTCCAAGTCAATCTTTCGAGATTTTTAACAAATTTCTTGGTTTATTACTAAGGAGAGGAAGCATGTAAAGCCCAGAGCACATGAAACCATGGGCGCGAACGGCAAACTCAGAAATCCGGCAAGAAGGGACTCCTACCACACCACCGGGAAAGAGGAACCTGTGCTGACCGCTTCCCTCACACGTGCGTGGCAGGGCCCCTCAAGGTGGAGGATAGGATAAGGTTATTTTGGACGGTGGGTGTGCGCCTTTCTGGCTGCCTGCTTTGCGGGTGGGGACATGCTGTGTCACTGACGAGCTCGCTGGAGATGGCGTCCCCGTTGTCGCTGGTCTGTGCCCGTGGGGGGTGTGAGGGCTGCCCGCTGCACCACCGGTCACGTGGTGGTGGCAGAGGGGGGAAAGGTGCGCGCCCTCCGGGAGGCTTTCCTGATCCGTGCACTGAGACGGGAGGGCGGCCCGCGCCTGCGTCTGCAGTTGGGTCATATCAAATCCGTATCGGCTAACCGGAGAGAAGCCACGAGCAAGTTCCACCGGAGAGAAAATCTCGCGTGGGGCCTGCACTCGAGGCTGAGGAGCCGGCAGCGCGTCCCCGCTGGGGCCGCCCCGCACGACCAGCCGCGCTGACCCCCGACCCCGGCCTGCGGGAAGCGGCTCCCCAGCTGCCCCGTGGGCCCGGCCAGCCCGGGACGAGGACGCAGGGCCTCGGCAGAGACGCCAGAGCCAGCCCTCGCCATCCCCACACGCCCCGCGGCAGCCGCGCGCACGTTACCTGCGGACCCCGGCCCCGCCCGCCCATCTGCGCTGCCGCCCTCCGCCATGAGCGCTTCCGCCTCCGCGGCCGCCACAGGCCCGCCGCGCCCCTCAGGCAGGAAGCAGGGCTGCCCGCGACCACTTCCGGCGCCACCGGCGAGGGGGCCGCGTCGGGGTCACGGCTTCCGGCGGGCAAGGGCCGGCCTCACTGGTTTCCGGGTCCGTGCCTCCACTTCCGGCTTCCCTGCGGAGCTGGACGCTGGCGGGTTCCGGCGTCCGGCGTGGACCTCGCGAGTTACCGACTCCCGGGGCGCCGGCTGCGCTGTGGTTTCCCCTCATAAGAAGCCAAGGAGTCGGAAAGCGCGTTGCTTGGGGCAGCAGCCTGAGTCCGGTGGATCGGGTCGTCCCCGCCGCCACGGACGGGGCGTGGCTTCTGCCGGGTGTGGGCGGGGGCCCTGGCGGGCGGGACCCGGGTCTGGGCTAGGCTGGCGGGGTCCCGGCCGGTGCCCCCCGAGCCACTAGCAGCCCCGGGAGGGTGGATTCGGCGGCGCGGGGAGTGGAGACGGCCCACTGCAGGGCTGAGCGTCGCAGCGTGCTGTTGTTTTGGATGAATGCTCCCCCAGATCCCTTCCATGAAGCCCGCAATCAGCTCGGCGGCTGATGACAGCCAATGGCTGACGCGGACCTCGTTGAATAAATGACTGCGTTTGTGAGCAAACGAGTAACATTCCCTGCACGCTCCCAAGTTCGGATATCGCAGCGTCGTCCCACCGTGGGTATTGGTTTTGGTCCTTCGGCACGGATTCCGCCCCCGCCGAGTTAGAAAGCCGGCCTCAGGCGGGAGGAGGACTGACGTGTTCCCAGCGCGGCAGGAGACTGATGAGGAAGGACGGAATCCCTGCAGGCGTGGGCGGGACCTGCTGGCGCAGCCTGTGTCCAGCACACCGGACCGCAAGGAAGCCGCAGGCGCAGCCCCGCAAGTGCCCCTGCTGAGGCTGGCCCTGAGTGGCCCAGATACACGCGGTGGGTCCACCTGGGTGCAGACCTGGCAGGCCCTGTGGGGGGTGGAGGCGGGAGTAGGGGTGCTTCCTGCAGTGGTGTTTGGACTTGATAACAGCAGAGGGCATCGCTGGCATGAGGGACAGGTGACTCCGATGATGACGCTGCACCACCACAGCTGCACATCCAAAATCTTGGCGCTTCAGCAACTCCGAACCCTGAAACCGACTCACGTGTTCGCGAATGAATAAACGAAATGCGGTCCATCCATGCAGTGGAATAGCGCTCAGCCTTAGAGGGGAAGGAAATCCTGACACATGCCACAACGGGGATGACCTTGAAGACGTTATGCTGAGTGAGATAAGCCAGTCACAAAAAGACAAATACAGTACTGTGTGATTCCACTTACGTGAGATCATAATGTGGAGCAGTGAAATCGTAGAGTGGAGTGTGGGTTGCCAAGGGCTGGGAAGTGGGGAATGAGGAGTTAGTGTTTAATGGGGGCGGAGTTTCAGTTGAGGAAGATGAAAAAGTTTTGAAAATTGGTTGCACAACAATGTGAATTGTGAATTGACACTACTGAACTGTGCATTTAAAAAAGGTTAAGTTTTGTGTTCTATATTTTACCGCAATTGCTTTATTTTTTAGAAGAGGCTCTGGTGCAGTCAGTCTGGGGTGTGGGTTGGCCCTTGGGTCGTTCAGAGCACCCAGGTGATTCTGATGTGCAGCCAGGTGACAGCCAGGTCCCCGAGGGCCTCCGCTGCTCTGCCTGTCTGGTTCCCGTGGACTCACAGTGAGCGTCCCACGTTTCGGCAGCCTTTGCATCAAGGTGTTGAGTGCTCTGAGCAGAGCTTCCCTCCTGCACCTGCAGCTCTACCTCCCCTTCCACGTGTTCCCCTTGGGATCTTGCCTCTTAGAAAAACCTGAGGCTGCGTGGTCCGTAGTGGAGAGGTGGCCTTACATCCCTATCTCTGTGCCTCTTAAATGCCCGCAGGGTGCAGTGCAGCGTCCACAGAACCAGCAGAGCAGGAGCGGGAAGGACACATAATCACTGGCCATGCTCTGCCAATACCATCACCCCCATTTCTCAGGACCCTGAGACCAGGGGGCCTGGAGCTGTCCCCAAAACCACACAGCCCACAGGTGGCTGAGTTGGGCTCACACCCAGACTGTGCAGCCCCACAGCCTGCCTCCCCCTCAGACCTCACCTCTCCAGAGCCCCTTTTCTTCCAGGTCCTCTGAGCATGAAAGAGCCACCCGCACAGAGACATTCAGTGGCCACTGGAGTTGAATCCACTTGGTCACATCTCCTACAAGCTGCAGGGCCTTGCCAGTGCCGTCCCAGCTGGCACGCCGGCGGCAGGACCCGTGCAGGGGGCTGTCTATGCCCTTCCAGGACCCCATGGCTCCTCCCGTTTCCCCACCCCTGCATTTCCTCCTACCGTAAAATCACCTGTCGTTTCCTGTTGCCCCCTGGAGGCTCAGGCCTCCCCCACAGCGGCCCCAGTGGCCCCTCCGTGTAGCCTAGCCCAGTCTTTCTGGCGGAAAATGTGGCAGTCTAACTAAAGCATCAGAATGAGTAGTCCTTGATCAGAAATGCCTCTTCCAGGCATTCGTTTTAGGGAAGTGTTAAGACGTGTGACAGATTCGGCTACAGCAGTACTGGGTAAGCATCATTTTGTAACAAAATGTCCAACAATGGGCCTTCTGGTTCTGGAGGTCTGAGGAGGGGCTCCCATCCCTCATCCCTCCTGTTGGAGGGAACCGGGGGCCCGTCCGGAAGCACAGCAGGCATGTGGGGGGCTGGAAACCTGAGCCCCACAGCTGCAGGCTGGTGAGGACCCTGCCGGGCCTAGGTATGCCAATGCTGCTGCCGCTCAACCCCCACAGCTGTCTCTGGGAATTGGGCAGAAGATGTCACCCAGACAGGGACCAGAAATGGGAATCTCCTGGTCCTGTGGGCCTGTGTTTTGAGCGTCACCTCCCAGGGGGCCCAGCCCTCTCCTTTGAAGGATCTCCTCAAGCAGGGCGTCTGAAGGTTTACCAGGTGAGGCCGTGAGATGAGGGCAGCTGGCCGAGCCTCCAGGCTTTGCCCTGGAAACACCTTTACCAGCCCCTGCCCCACAGACCCTGTCTCAGGCCTTGGAGCCCACCCGTGGAGAGTCAGGTTGTCTGCCCCAAGCTAGGGAGCCAGATGCACCTCCTTCCAGCTGATCCACTAGATAGGGCAAAGCCTCCAAGCATCAGCTGCCTCCCTGTAAAGTGGGCCGGTAATACCTACCTTGCAGGCTTTGTAAAGACCCCAAATCCCATAGAAAGTGCCACAGGCTTCTGGGCAGAGAGAGCCTCAGCAAACAGTGGCATCAGCGCCATGGCAGCTAACTCTCACGATGGCAGGGCTCTGCTGAGTGAAGCCCATCCCACCTCCAGCCTCCCACCCCACCCCACCCTGTCCCAAATTGAGCCCACCTTCTCTGCCTAGCTAGGAACAGAGCAGGTCTCAGGGGCAGAGGCAGTGTCCCAGCAGGCCCTCAGCTGGGCCCCGCGGGGCTGGGCAGGGCGCAGGCAGTGGTCTTCTTGTAGCCCTCGAAGCCTCCCTCTTCCAGCCAAGCCGGCCTCTGCCTGGATATGGTTTATCCTGGCAGTGGAGGCCCCAGGGGAGGACCGGGGAGCCCAGCAGCGGGGACTGCAGAGGACAGTGTGAGCCCTGGGAGCCCTGCCAATGGGGTGCCCTCGCCCAGTCCCCCCACAGGTGCCGCTGCCTCGCGTGGTGTGACCAAGAACCCCACGGGTGTCGGGAGGCCACGGTGCTCAGTGAGATCGTGCATCCTCTGCAGGGGGCTGCGTCTCTCCAGGCAGCACCCGTGGAAGGCACCTACCATGTGCTGGTCACTGCCGCAGGGGGAGGAGTCAGAGGTGAGGAAATCTCAGTCCCAGAGCAGGGACTGGCAGCAGAGGCCAGAGATTCTTAGAGACTCCTCGACCCCAGGGGGACCAACAGCCCAGCTTGCCCAGCACTGAGCGGGCTCCAGAACACGGGGCTGGCAGTTTTCAAAGCAAGGTGAGTGGAGACCCTATCCCAGCTCTGGGCTCCTCTCCCTGCCTGTCCTACTACGGTGCTGGAGTCTCTGAGCTGGCCCCACCATGCCCTCCTAATGCCAGGTTAACGTTTCCTGCCATGCCAGTAGGTGTCTGTCACTCGGGCTCACAGACTCCTTCATGGTCCCCTGAATGCCCATGTATAGACTCCTGGAGGAGCCCGGGCATCTGAGGCCCATCCCGAGAAGAGCCCCAACCTCCTTCCCCTCCTCCAGCTCCCAGGCTCCAGCCTAGAACCTGACCCTCCAGGGCCAGCATGCTTTCCCTGGGGTCTGCGCACGAGGCCCCCTCCCTCCCACACCCCTGTCCTGGTGACCTCTCTCTCCTCACCAGATGTCCCCCCCACACCCCCTGGCAGCCTTACCCAGCCAGCCAGGGCCTTGGCTCCAGGCCCTCCCGGCAGCATTCTCTCTCCTCGCCTGACTGCAGCTGCCAGAGGAGCTGGCCTATCTCTCCTGGCAGACGCTTAGGTTCCTCGAAAGTGGCTTCTGGTAGGAGGGGTATTTTGATTCTCTCACAGGAGCTGGCCCAGGCCTGAACCAACAGATAAAGTCTTTCAGGCTCTGAAATTGACAAACTGCCACACCGGGGCACCAGGGTCCTAGGGTTCAGGGGCAAACAAAGCTGGACACCATCCCGTGGAGCCTACAGACCAGCACTGAGGGGCCAAATGGCAGCCCCCAAAACAGTCCACAGCCTAAGCTCTGGAAACGGTGAATGGGACCTTATTTGGGAAAAGCGTCTTTGCTGATGCGAGTAAGGATCTCAAGATGAGATGGCCCTGGACTGAGGGCAGGCCCTGACCCAACAGCAGCTGCCTTTACAAGAGAAAGGCAAAGGCAGACTGGAGAGAGAGAAGGCGGTGTGGGGACGGGCTGGAGAGTGCAGTGATGTGGCCACAAGCCAAGGAACACC